TAAATTATGTTTTTATCTCATGAATACACCTAAAATTAGATATTAAAAAAATAAAGTTTTAATCTCAGTTTCAAAATGTGTACATTTTCAAAATTCCAAGTCATTTTTTTAAAAGCCAGAGTAAAAATTATTCTTTTTTAGCCACTAGTCAGTGTCAGACAATAGTTTCAATAATTTGAAAGTTCTTTTTTACCACACATTTATTAATAACAGTTACTCTTTTTTTTTTTTGCTTGGTTTATAATTTTTGAAAGAATTTACTGCCACAAGTGAGAAGAACTGAACATCTTCCTAGTTGTAGTTTAATGTATCTTCTGACTGGGTGTATAATTTCAGGAATATTGATAAAGATTACTGACTGATTTTGCAAAACAAAGTAACGTGTAAAATTTAGTTTAAAACAAGAAAAAAAATTATTTTGCATTTTCGGCTGGTCAAAGCAAAATACTGTTTTCTGAAAAACAAAAAAATGAAATGAGCACATACAAATGATTTTATTTTCTTTCCAGTCATATGAATATTTTTAAGAGTGGACCATAAATACATGAGATATTGCAGGTTGAACAGACTAAGTTACAAATTTATCAATCTCAAACAAAATCAGACATCAACTGGAAATGCTATCATTACACAAGAAAATAAATGGCTTCCTCAGAAAGCAAAAATACTAAATTAAAAACCAAATAACTGAATCAAAAATTGTGGTATCAAGGGAAAAAAAAAACAGAAACCAATACTGAAACATAAATTGCCAAACCAACCAACTCAATTGCAGACAGACTACAGAAAATTTTAAAAAATATGTACAAATATGCTCTTTTGGAGTTTAAGATAAGCCATACTGATGGCAAGCAGAAAAGGTTCTCTACGCTGATTAAATGAAAGCAGTTTTGTTTTTTTTTGGGGGGGGGTTAAAATTTACAAGCCATTCCTTGCCCCAGTTAACCAGATTGGGGATAATTTTCAAGAGCAATTCCCAGTTTTACTACTTTGTTAGATCTGTCAAACTTGTTACTAAAACAGGAGTAAATAGTTATGAATAGATACCTACTTTGAGAATATGACATCGGAAAGTCATTGATGAAGATTTGAAGCAGCATAGCTCTGAGGATAGAACCCTGGAGGACCCCAGCATTAATATGAAATGAATTAGAAATGTGTCCATTCAACACTATCTTTATTACAGGATTTGTTAAGAAAAATTGTATTAGAACAAATATTCATCCAGAATGCTGTAGCCCTTGTGTTTGTGGAGAAGGCCAGCATACTAAATACTTTTGTGATATCTAAAGCCAGATCACTGTTCTTATCTAAAGCTTGACAAATTCAGTGATGGTCATTAATACATCAGCGATAGACCTGGAGAAACAGAAAACTTCCAACAAGCTGGAAAGCAAGAAGTGTGGCATTTATTGTAAAGTTTGGAAAGAACAGCAGCCAATTCAGAAGCTCATTTCTTTAGGACAATTGCAGAAACACTATCAAATCTGCAAGCCTCGTGGGGGGGGGGGGTCTAGTTTAGAAACAATAGCAGAAACCATGGACACAGTTATGGTGCATATCACCCAGTAGAGACTCAGTTCTAGGTGGGAGGGGGGAAATCAGGCAGAGATACTCCAAAGGAGTTGAGAGTGGAATTGGAAGAGAATTTCCAGTAGATGACAACATTTCAAATTGATTGAAAAGAGGAAGGACTGAGGATTTTTCTCTTGTTTAATGCACTCTTGCAGAGTCGCCAGTATTCTCTAAAAACAAACTCTTGAGAGACTATATAGTGTTTCGGTTTAAAAAAAAAAAAAAAAAAAAGTTGGTAAATATCTGTGGATTATTCTATTCTTAAAATTTTAAAAATATTTGACATTTTCAACAATTTGCAATGCTCCAGAAATATATCCTTTGAATTTTATGTTAGACTAATAATAAAATTACTAACCCACATTTCTGTTTTAATATTTACTGCTACTATCTGTTCAAAGGAAAATTGGTAATTTTGGGTTAACCATAATGAAATTCAGACTACTGTAAATATAATGAGGAATGAATGAAGTTCAATGTAGCCATCAAGAGAATAATAGCCTTTTCCTAACATACTACAATATAAGATGCTAAGTGGTAAGTCACTTTTTAACACTAGTGTAAGAAATTATACAAGGAAAAAAAATCCAATATTTGTCAAATTGAAAATCTATATGAATTTTATGTTTATTATAGTATGATTTTTTTTTAAATCTTCATATTGACAAAATAAAGAATCATTAATGACTAAAACTAAAATAAAATATTACAATACATGCAAATAATTTAAATTTGAGTATTTCTATTCTTAACAGCAAAAAAGCCAGTTATTGTTTTTAGACTTTTGTTTTAGAAGGAAAGAAAATAGACACCTTTGTATTGTACACGTATACTGTATACATGTTCAATGCATTTATACACCATCACACACTAAATTTTTGACTTTGTTATGTACAAAAAAGGTGTATTGAAAAGTTTAGCCTGACCATGATGTAATTAGAAATGTAAAGGGGTCGGATCAAAAACTTTTCATCATCCCCTCACAGATGAATGAAGTCATATAGAAAAAAAATATACAGTATCATACACAGTCTGAAAATTAACTTAAAAGATGTAAATGTAAAAATGATTTTTTTTATATAAAAAAAAAAAAAAAAAAATGTAAAAAAACATACATAGAGACAGCTACAGGTGAATGTATTGTATATTGATTGAATTTTTTGTTAACTATTATCTCATTAAATTCTACTTTAATACTGACAAAAACAGACAAATATATATAAATGAAGAAATAAATTCAAACTAACTTACATCTACCAAGGTATCGTGTATGAATTTCAAGTTAAAATGTTACACGTTACTTAGCTCCGGTAGATTAAGCATGTAAGAACGTGTGCACTCAGCAAACGCAAACAGCAGAAAAGGCAGCCCACACCCACCGATTTGTTGATTCACTGGCAGCGATTGGTAGGGTCAGAGCCAATCCCTCTGATTTTAAGCCAATCAGAAACGATTGAATACGCGGCCTTGACCTTCTCGTATCAAATTCTAAAAATTATTCTTTTTCTTTTCTTCGGTGGGAAGAAACATGGAAAGACGCTTTCGATAAATTTGTACTACTATTTTTCACGTATATTTCTAAAAGTATATGTATTGATCTAAATATACTTAACTGAAATATTTTTAGAACGTACTGCAAATAAAGTGTGCATGTGTGGCACACGCCATACTATTAACCTGGTAATATTTGAATTTCATACTGTGTCAAAAAGATTTTCATACCAATTATTGCTTGTTAAACGTTAAAAAGAAAACCCATATATTTTTCTTTTCTTATGGAATCGCAGTGTGTGTTTTTTGTTTACAAATACAACAGAATATTTTAAAAAATAATACAATTTTAATGAAATATTTGATTGATATCTTTATGTATTCAATTGTCAATATTTACTTGGTTAAATAAAAACTTACGGAGAATAAAAAAAAAAATCACTGTGAGAAAAGAAAACTATACACAAATATTAAACATGTTTACTGTTTAGAAAAGATTTTATTTTTATGACTTGATAAAAAAATCAACAGTAAGTAAAAACAGTTGCGTGTAATAGTCACACAAAAATTACTTTTAGAAAAAAAATTGAAAAGTAAAAAAAAAAAAAAAAAAAAGGTTTCGTTTTTGCTAAAATAACTGACAACACCAGCTTTTAGTTTACATTTTCGTTTTTCATGTAACGTAGTTATTTTTTTATACCAATATAATGGAATAATCGGTCTTCATATTTTTATTGCTTGTTTCAGTTTCCGAACTTGGATTTCTGTGTGGGTGTGCTGTGCAGACATTGCTTCCTTAGCTTATGGAATATGAACTATGTGCATAAATTTTTACATGCATTTTTATGTAAAGTTAAAAGTATTGCATGCAAATAACGCGTCCGCATGTATACATGATCATGAATTTACATAGAAAATGTTAGGAATTATTTCTTTGGCTCTAGTATATAACAAATAAAATATAACTACTGCTAAATACACTTTTTATCGTTTATATACACGTGTTAAAAAAAAAAATAAGAAAGAGAGGGAGGGAGAAAGAGAGCAAGCCTTTCAAAGAAATGTCTTTAAATTATCAGCAACACGTGAGGGTGTCATAAAATAATTATTTTCTTAAAAATTATTTTTTTCTATTTTACAGCATTACGGGCCAAATGTTTAAAAATGTTTAAGACTGACTGTTTCTGTTGAATAAAGAGATCAAACAAAAAGGTTTCAAGCAGAAAGGAAAATTTAAACATTACATAAGAAGAGAAAATTTGACAACACCAAATGTGTTCTTTATTTTAAATTAAATAAGTAGATAAATAATGAAATGACAGTAAATGTGAGGAAAAAAATTTTAAAAAATACTTGCAGAGGTAACAAACGTCGGGTGAGGAGGAAAGCGATGGTTGGCCTCATGAACAAAAAGAAAGAAAAAAGCTAAGTTTTAAGATGTTAAGCTTTAAAACATCATAGAACCTTCAAAGTTTTCAACTTTTTAAAATTATTTAAGAAATGAAAATAGAAATTAAAATTTAAAAAATAAAACCAGCATGGGTAACAACCGTGTACTGACCGATGAAAGTAGTGTGCACACACACATATATATATATATATATGTGTGTGTATATATACATACATACATACATACATACATACAAAAAATAAAGGAATCTGTTAATGAAAAGAAAGTAACACATAGATTTCATAAAATGACAGAGTAATGATAACTTTTGAAAAATGTTTGACAGCATCAAAGTGTTGTGAACAAGATGATTTTAAACAGAAACCTTCAGCAGGTAACCCTGCGAGTAGAAAAATAAGGAGAAATTTATGACGGAAAAGAAGGTCAGAATCGAATGTAAAGGAAAAGTAGGTTTTCGGGAAAATGATAGTAAAATTTAAGCATCAATGAATACAAATATATAGAAAACAACAGAATAACTCACCGTCGATTATTTAAAATTGTGTTTCTCGTAGTCGGGGGGTTTGCACTCGAAAATCGCCAGCTTACATCCCATCTAGCATTAGAGTTGCACACGACCCTTCGCTTTGGTCTGCGCATGCTTTTGAACGTTCAATTAAAGAGCCAGTCAAAAAATACTTTCTATGACGGAACGATCATATTGAAAGTATATTTTTCGGCATTTTTCGTCTTTCTTCGTGACTAGTTTATTATGTAACGTTCAGGGTCGTCACTGACGTCACAAATTGGTGTGGGTTTCACCTTCCACGCGTTCAATATTTGAGTCAGTTATATACGGAGGTTGTTCGCAAAGTTAATACGAAATGATTATATACAGGAACAATAAGAAAATAGGTCATCGGTAGTTTTCGGCAAATTTCGGTACTACTAATATATTGAACGCTTGCATTCTGTCATTGACGTCAGAGAAGAAAAAGAAGTTCCTATACATACCTATCATATATGCATGCATGCACATGTGCATTGCATACGTATTACTTGAGTATTCGGTAGTTAACGTACTAGTCACAAGATCCATTGATAATGAGTTCGATCCTCATTAGTTGCTCCACAAATTGTGCTAGATTTCTTACAATCAAAGTTGATAAAAATAAATACATATTTTTTTTACTACTATAACAATAAAATTCTGTAATAATAATAATGGTATTTTTTTTTAAGTCGGCAAAGCCGCAAAACACTAGGTTAGGTTCGGCTGATGATGCTGGCTGTATTTGATTCGAATTCCAGCTAACAATTCAATTATAGTTATAATGTGATAATTAATTTTCTTAAATTCAATTGATTATGTTTCAAATTGTCATTTAACCATGAATTCAATTCAAATTTGTAGAATGATTCAATCAACATCTCTAAACCAATAATTTAAAATGAATTAATGAACACTCACAGTAATTTCTTGCAGTTACATTTCAGAAGTTTTGAATAATAGAATTTCAATTTTACATTTACCTAAAATTATAAATTTTAAAGAAACTAGTTTTCCCAATACAATTTTTTTCTAAATAATTTCACCCTAAGCAAGGCAATGAAGCCACTAAGACACAAGGTGTTACTGAGTGTAAAAGAATTTAAAAAAAGAAAAATATTATTAAGGAGAGAGAACAATAAAAGAGGAATCAAGAAGGCAGTAGATAATGATTGACATTGCATTTAAATATTTGAAGATCGAAGTTGGCTGAAAACAAGAAGCCGGAAGAGAGTTCCACAGATGATAAGTGCAAGAAAAGAAACTGTTAATATAGAACTTACAGATGTGTCTAGCTAATTCAACTGTATAATGATGAGATCTTGTTGCCAATCTAGTATAGCATTTAAATTCATAAAGTCTAGGTCACATAGAGCAAAGTTCATCAGAACAATTACTATAAAAGTATTTATAGAAAAGGCACAGGGAAGTTATATTATGGTGATGAGAAAATGACTGAAGCCTGGATGCCAGGTCAGAACCAATACCATGACAGATTCTTCTTTGAATTTTATCAAGAATCTCTAAATATATAGCAGAAGCACAAGACCATATATGGCAGCGATATTTGAAGCATGAACAAATGGTAGACTTATAGATATTTAAGATAGATTCTGGCAAGAAAAATTGTCTAGCACAACACAATGAACCAACTTTCCTAGCAGTAGACCTAGCAATTGATTCAATATAATCTTTCCACTTCATGTAGTGGAAAACATTATTCCAAGGAGGCACCACAAGTCAGTCTCCTGGAGGTAAGCATCAAATTTCACATAGACAAACTAGAATTATGATGCACTTACATACATAAAGCAACAATTACATTTTTTTTCAGTTAGGCATGGAATTATTAATTTTTTTTACCTCTCTTTGACTTTGGAACACCATAAATTATGCTAATACTGCTTAACAAATTAAGTGCACACGAAGCTGGCTTAACCAATCAAATAACACAAAAATAAAAAATACAAGAATATATTATTATCTCTATATTTCATTCTCTGATGAAGCTTTAATAAAAGTGAAAAATGCTAAACTGAGAGACATTTACTATTTGTTTTTTATCCCATTATATATATATATATATATATATATATATATAATTATTTCTTTAAAAATTATAACATAAACATGTTATAAAATCACTACAAAAATACCCATTTTGTTTCAACACTTCTGGTGTCTTTTCAAGTGATGATGATTCAATATCATCACTTGATAAGACACCAGAGGTGTTGAAACAAAATGGTTATTTTTGTAGTGATTTTATAAATTGTTTATGTTATAATTTTAAATAAATAATTATATTTGCTCTACTCTGTATTGAGCACTCTTTTAAGAATAGTAATTGTTGGTTATTGGAATTTATTCCGTATACACCAATCCTATACCTAGGTATATATATATATATATATATATATATATATATATATAATGTAAAAGTGTACAAAATTAGGCTAGACTGAGAATTTAAATTTAAGTTTAAAATTTCACATACCATTTTATTAGTCCAATGAAATCCTAAAGAATGAAAATCATCTTCTCCTATATGTGTGTGTGTGTGTCTGTGTGTGTGTGTGCACATGTTTGTGTGTGTGCACATGTTTGTGTGTGTGTGTGTGTGTGTGTGTGTGTGTGTGTGTGTGTGTGTGTGTGTGTGTGTGTGTGTGTGTGTGTGTGTGTGTGTGTGTGTGTGTTTTGCTGCATTATGCAGCATTCTAGATTTCAAAATTTACAGTTGAAATATTTTGAATTTACACAAATACATATAGGCATTCACAGACAATTTAATCCCTGAAGATGGTCTCAGATGAGATTGAAAATACTTGGAAAATTAAAAACTTATTTGAAAGAAAATTTTGATATTTTACTTAATCAATTTTCTAAGGCTACCAAGAAATTAATCTGTGAACTTGAAAGGATCACAACCAAAATAAATCAACATGATATGTCTAAATTATTTAACCAAACCTGTTTGAATGAAAATATGTTGTTTAAATACACACACACACGTGCACACACACAGACACACACACATGTATATATATATATATATATATATATATATATATAAAAGTGAACATTGAAGTCAAAACTCAGAGGCGACAGACTGCCTCATGCTAAATGCAATCATCAGGCCTGATGTTTGCATCTAGAATAAAGCATTCTGTTACCTCTGAGTGTTGACTTCAATATTCACTTTTATTTTTACATATGCTCTATCTCTGATACTGAGCACTTTATCCTATAATATAGCACACCTTAAAACTATATATATATATATATATAATAATATTTTTTGTTTAAAAATATGATTCCTTCGCTACATAAGAGTTCTCATGTTTCAAAAACGAGAGCCGAAATCATCCAAATAATTATTAACATTAAGTTGAATTGTGGTGTTTAGTCCCGTTTCATCTTTAAGCGAAATTTTAGGAATCAGGAAAACGGGACTAAACACCACAACTGTCTTCTTAAAAATAAAAACAAAAATACTAAGGAACCCCAGATTATGCACCCAAGCACCCAACGTGTTCTTTTCTATTTTCTGCATGCCTGCACACTTATACATATTATACTTATATATATATTATATATATATATATATTATGAAATGGACAAAGTCCAACAATTATTTTAAGACATATTTATGTTTATACATTCTTTTTGTAGATACAAATATTTAAGTAAAAGCTCTGTTTTATAATAAACAGTATTAATAACATTTACCAGCCTGAATGTCTGAGAAATTTTCATAGAAAATATTTGTCCTCCGACAGGAATCAAACCTATATCCTATACGGAACCGCCATTTAGCCTGATGTGCCTTCACCGATTGAGCAACTGATAATCGTTCGACCAAATGAAAACATCCCCTACCAATCATTCCAAGAAATAGGAATTAAGATAAAGCTTTCCAAAACAGAAACTATGATTTGGAATTGGAATGAAAGCAATGATGGCACCTACCCTGAATCCATCATGAAAATGAAAACATCCACTATCAATTGTTCTAAGAAATAGGAATCAAGATAAACCTTTCCAAAATAGAAACTATGATTTGGAATTGGAATGAAAGCAATGATGGCACCTACCCTGAATCCATTATGAAAATGAAAACAGCCTCACTCAGCACCACAAATTACAAAAACAAAACAACAATTTGAAAAACTACTTCATATTTTTAAATAGCCTCATGATTGAGACTGTCATATGGATGTTATGCATGATGCCAAACTCATTGAGAAATATCTAAACTGTCAGCTACATTGAGTGGCACTTGGGCTTTGTGCATACCTAAGATTGATGGTGAAAAAAGGTTTTGGGTGAGTAAGGCCTGTCTTTGCAAAGATCATCCTCCTTTAAACATTTTAGACTATAGATTCATAAACAAAGGAACACTATCTTTTGAGGACTAACAGCAGCAGGAACAGCTAAAATGGATGGCACATATGAGTCATATTTTTAAAGAAAAAAATAATGACATAATCAAGATGTTGACATTTCACACTAATTTAAATAAAAGGTTAGGAAGGAAACTACCCCATCAGTGCTGGAAAGAACAATAACAGCTACCAGACTTGAGAAAGCCATTTTCCTAAAAAATTGTTTTAAGAGAAAGATTTTATAAATTTCAATCAAAAGCAGTACTGGCTTCTCAGTCAATGAATGCCACAGGTTTCCTCATAGGGAAATGGCTAATATTACCATTACCATTCTTACCCTAAAATTTAATGTAAAAATCTGCTCGCATCATTTACACCAATGGTATGAATTATATATGTGTATATATATGATATACACAAATGTAAACATACTTGAAAGCCCATAAGATCAATGCTGGTGTTCTTCAAGGTTCCCTCCTTGGTCCTACCTTTTTTCTATTATATATTAATGATCCACCCAAGAGCATACTTCGATCATTAATGAGTATCTATACAGATTTATAGGTAAATCTCCAAAATATTTGGAAGATCAGAAACTAACAGCTTGTCATTCCTGTAACCTACCACAAGTGGCCCAATGGGGGAAGGACCATAATATGGCAAAACTAAACTAGTATGATTCTACCATGACCAAGCAAACCTGGAACTTTTACCTATCATGATGG